TGCAATCAGTAAATATTGTATTAGAATTTATCACTAAAAACTGTAATATCATTTTATTTCACTTGCATATTTTAAGGGTAATAATATTTCTAATTCATTAAACAGAAGGAAAAAATTATTACATAATATGCATCGATAATTATGATTATCATTACATTCACTAAAGGCATATAATAAACAATAGTTTATACAATATTAACTTTAATCAAAGCTAATAATTCATCAAATATCATATATCTATAATCATTATATATATTATAAAGACTACCAAGATCTTTTTGATAAACATATCTTCTACTTTCTAATCAAGCCATAAAAGCTGTTTGTTTAATTTCATCAGGATATATTATTTCAAATTTGTTCTACAAGGCCTTTTTTGTATTCTTTAAATACAATAATGGTAATCCACTTTTTTTATTAACTGCATATGAACTCATACTAACATTATTTTTATCATCAAAAAAGGCTAAAAATTGTGCATCTTGAATGTCAGTTATACATGATCTTGTAATTTTAGGTTTTTTAATTGCTAGACATTCTGGACCATTTACGTGTGCATAAAATTTAGCAGTATAATAAAGGTTATATGATACTTTTAATTTTTTTGTAGTTTTTTTGGACCAATTTCATCCACTATAATAGATAAAATACGTTGCATTTCATTATTACCATGTATATTTCTTGTTAAGGCTTGATTAAAACTTTTCCAAAATTTTGTTTCATCTGCAGATTTATTTTTATCTACTGATTCATTTTCATCTACCAATGGAGTTTTTAATAATCTCATATTATACAAATTTAAAAGAGTTTTCTTATTACTTGATGGATCTTTTGCACAAGTCCAAAATTTGATCTACAGTATTAAATATAATAAATAATATAAATGGAATTATTTGTCTTATAAGTTTAAATATACTAACCTCAGTTTCATTTTTAGAAAATGGTGTTATATTACTACAACTAATAGCATGCATCATAGCTTCCAAGCAAACAATTCACGCTCACTAAATATATAATCAGATAGATAAATATGTGCTAATGTATCTGGAAATTGAATTATATTACTTTTTTGTAATTTCTATTTAATAAAAAATTTTTTCTAATTTAGATTAGTTGTAGCAATTTTTCAGTGCAAATGGTAATTAAAAATTCGATTCATAATTTCACTTTTTTCTCATTTTGTAATAAACATTGAGGTGGCGAATTAGTTGCAATATGTTTGTTTTCTAATACAGATTTTACTTTGAGATTATTAAGGCCAAATAATGAAAAACTATCCTGATCTTGAAGAAATATCATTTTTTTCCAAACTTTTGTAGGTGTGCTATCACTTTGAGTAGATAAAATTTTTTCATGGTAATAAACCGTTATTGTACAACTATTTTCATTAATTGATTGTACAATTCATTTTTGTTCACCACCAATTTTCTGTATAAAAATTGAAAGATATCTGGGACTAGCAAAATTTAAATTGACATTATCAGAAATACCTAATTTTGCAATAAAATACTCTTATTATTGTAATTAATATAAAATGGAATATAAGAAATATTTTTCAACAATTGAAATACAATATAATCATTATCAAAACCCAAAACTGATGGACCTGAATAACTGGTTTTGTTACCAAAGAGTTTTTGATAAGTTTCATTAATAGCAGTAGACGCAGTATTATAAATTTGATTTTGTGTGTCAGACTTGTATAAAAAACCTGGTTTTGTTCCATATTGGTCTTTTTAAACAATTCTTACTATAAATTCTTGATCAATTAAAAAAACACGAATTTGACAATTTATACAAAAAAGAATACAAGCATTTTGTGTTAATCTTTTTGAAAAATACCACCAATTCGTACAAAATGGACCATAATGTAATTCTTCCAATATATAACCAGATGTTAATAATTGTAATAAAGATTTTTATTAGCTATCTTAAAAATTATAACAGCAATAATACTACTGTTAATTTTCATTTTAAAAAAAGTATAAGCTTTTTATCACTTTTTATTTGCTCTATATCAGCTCAATTAATAATTTACCATCTTTATATCTATAATGTGTTAAAAATTTTATATTATACTAAATATTGGCTCAATTCAGTAGTTCGTTATTATGTATTGCAACTATGTACATATGTATTAGAACTTTTAATAGTTTACCATTTTTATATCTATAGCATGTTGGAAATTTTATATTTATGCTAAATATTAGCTTAATTCAGTAGTTCATTATCATGCATTGCAACTATTTAATAATTTATCATTTTTATATCTATAGAGTATTATATTCATACTAATAACAATAAGTGAATGCATATTATGTAAAAAGTTACCAGTTATAGCCTGGTATATAGAATATAATTTTTGCAATACACCTATTGTGTCATATTTCGTAATATATGCCTTAAAATATGCAAGTGAAATAAAATGATATTACAGTTTTTAGTGATAAATTCTAATACAATATTTACTGATTGCA